TCCTTCCATAATAGATAATTAAGGAATTATTCGAAGCCTAGTCTTTCTTTACATAGCACCTCCACAGGTTTGATTCTTATTTATTTGTAAGCTGTTACTTCAAAAGTTTTGCTCCTAGTTTATTTGAAACGATTTTGTAGGTAAATCAACTCCTTAAAATACTAGAGTGAGTTTAGACTATGAAGTGGACCCTTATTTGTCTTCACATAGGGATCCCCTTAGGCTTGGGATAGACGTCCCTTGCATGAAAAACGGCTATGGTATAATGGAGATGTGGGCGAGTCTGCTATCAAAACATTAAAAAAATTTATCCACAAAATTTGTACTAATAGACTAAGCTCTGCTCTATCAGAAGTTATAGTACGAAACGTCGTTACAATCTGCTATCACATAGACGTAACATTGCTATTCAACTAGGATAAAGGCGAAGACCCTCCGCCTAGCAGCTCGCTTAGTGCAAGCAAAATGTGGACGGATTAGTCTATCGACTACTCAACAATTCGTATTTTAAGTCTGTGGACTATCTGCTTTAATGAGACCCCTGTAGGAGTATAAACTATAGTATCAGAGTCGATCACCCTTCAGCTAGTAACAATACAAGTGGTTTGACGGACTCTCCCATATTTTTGATAAGAGAATTCAATTTTCTCAGTTCGATAGTAACATGCAATATATGTACTCAAACTATAACCAGTTGACTAGAATGGCTACTTATATGGAGTACAAAGCCCAAGGAATTGAGGCAAATTCTGGATAAATATAAGAGCGAAATCGGATAGAAATTGTTTGTCCTTGCTCTCACAACTTGGTCATATTGGCAGGAAGACGTAGATGAACGCATCTAATCTGGAGTCCATTTTATGCACGATAATTTCTAAAGTCGTATCATGGTCGTGGTAAATTCCCAGAAGTTTTGTCGGCATCGTTAGTAAACCATTCTTAGCGCCACACTACAACCCGTCAGAGACAAGTTAAGCCGATCCTTTGACCAGATGTGTGCTAGACCGTTGTGGTATCTGGTATATTCACCTCTCCCATATCCTCGTATAACGCCATCACTATCACGTTTCCTTGCTTATTTAAATGTAGCGGTGTGCCCTTTTGAGTAGCATTCGTGAGCCCTTAACATCCTCACGCTGGCGTTCTCAACTCCCTTAATACTTGTGCTTGGAATGTTAATCAGTTTGCCATATTGTTAAGCGGTCCTCATGCCCTAGCACTTACCAACCTCCCTCTGCATTTTAAGTATATCTAGATCATGAACATAGCATGAGATGTTCACAATCCTTCATTTTTATATCTGCAGAAAGACTTAGTTTGCAAAACCTTTGAAGATGATCCTGGGTTCGACTCATCTTGACTTACATTTATCATTTAAGATCATCTTCCTAGCAAGCCATCTGTCTACTGTTAGAATATTTTTATTGATTCAAGACCATAAACAGCAAGCGAAATGCAAGCTTAATCGTACTTCACCTAATCTCCCGGTTATTAGATTCCTATCAACAAGTATTTAAACGGCTTTTCCGATCTCGCTTTCTTACACTTTCACAGTATGCGCCCAGTCGTAGTTGGATAACAATTAATGTCATATCCATATTTGCGACGTCCTGTGCCATTGCCGATTTTTCCATGGTGACCACTTATTTTTCGAACTCACCCATATTCGCAAGTGGATACAGTAGACCACAGGTACTCTACTTCGTCACCCTACTCATGGCTGGCAGGTAATCTTGTGAAGTGATGCGCCTATTCCTGAGATTACATAAATAATCGGCTCCATCAACAATTGCACCAACTTGCGGACCACCCGAGTGACCATGAATTTCATCTAGCAACACCCGCGGACTGTAAAAAGCACTGCATCGCTGCTTGCTTATTACAAATTATAGACTTGCATTTATAAAGCCCATTGGACTCGCATAATAGAAAAAACCCTAATTGTAAATCGGCCATTTCTTTAAAACATTTTGTAAGACATTAAACAGGTGAATAAGCCAGAAATTTGTAGGTAGATGGGCCATATGAAGCAGGTTTGACGAGCACAGACACGGAACGGCAAGGAGAGATGCCATGACAAGAAAATGGGCCAAGGAAATTGCAATCTTTATTTACCGACAAGTCGTGACGGAATTAAGTGTTAATGACAGGTAACTGGCCAAGGAGGTAAAATGATGGCCGAAGCGAAACGAGTCAAGCAGGGATCGTCCAATTGGGGAAATTGGGCCGTACCAACATTAAATCACGGTTAAGGTCATGGAAATCATATTTCCGTGGCTTACCGATAGACATACCGCTCTCACGCCAAGCCAGCAGGACACTAAATAAATTTGATTCATTCGGAGTTCGGACAAACTACAGCAAGTCGCCAAAGTTTTGTCCTGCATTACTACGATTCTTCAACGCATCCTAAAGCATGCTGATCAAAGTAGTTTCACCACTGTGAATTACCGTGCTTGTCGCTGACCATCGTTGTGCACGTGACCCTGCGTAATTATGGCTTAACACCGATTGTCGGAACAGACAGGAAATTGATTTTTAGTCAAAAATACTTAGCATTTATTCGAGACACATAGAATACACTCTGACAAGCCTCCACAGCCCTTATTCCACTGTAGACTATGTGGCAGCTAGCTTGCCTTCTCACTGTGTCCCTTAACGGTGTTATGAGATCCGCCACAAGCAAAGTGAACGAACAAAATGGATGGACTGTCACGGCGCACTAGGTCAGACGAGCACTTGGCGGAACCACATATTTAACAATTAACCACACTTTAAGAAACAAGCCTTCCTGAGTAGCAGAACAGGAACCCCGTGTCGAAAATAGATTCAACTAAGATTGAACGCTCAAAATAGGATCCGTTCTCGTCCGAATCGATCGACATAAATGTAAATATAGAGGAAAAGCGTGAGCGAAAACCCGGGTGAGTACATTGAGGGCCAGATTAAGACGAAAGATCTCCAGCGTAGAACGCCAACCCGTCATCGCGAGTTGATTTAAGTGGCACCAACTATTTCGAAAACATCGAAGCAGCCCTCGTCAGGAATAAAAGGACGCGCTCGTCACAACTCTATTGGAGACGTTAATGACAAGACTAACTTAAATTATTAACAAAAAATAGAGCATGACGCGCTAAATGACTCGACCCAGGGCATTGGGGCAGTGCACCAAAGCAGACGTGTAAATGATTAAAATTCAGTAATTGATTATTTATTACAAAAAGACAATCTCCACCTCTTACATGAAGCAAATATTTTGATGTGAATCTGGATGCATAAAAAGAAGGAACAGATCTATAGATCGAACTAAAAATGCCCATAAAGATTGAAATGTTTGGAACAAAACAAAGGGAAACTCATTGCTGTTCGCATTCTGGTTTTTCAGTATCCTTGGCGCCGTTTGTTGGGTGAGGTCCACGCTTTTTCTTTCCCTTCTGTCCCCCTGAAGATCCAAGCTGCTAAGACGAATGATGAATTAAGAGTTAACTAATAATAAGTGTACCGACTTGATTCCAATATTTGGAGAAAGACAATTATTAGAACATTTTTGAGGATAACGCTGGGTAAAATGCATTTGGTTAAGGAATGTAGATGGACATAAGGAAAGGATGAACAGCGGAGGCGGTGAGGATCGATTCTAATGATGCTTTACCTGCACATTGTCATCATCCGATTCCTAAAATGACAAATATAGGTAAGCGATATCCAAAAGTTAATAATTTCATGGAACGGACTTACGTTGCTTTCTTCATCGTCGTCTTCCATATCTTCATCTTCACATTCGTCGTCATACTGAAACGAAATAATGAAGTTAATCAAATACCTCAGGCTCTAGAGCCTCTCCAGTAAAATAAAGTACAGCTCTCGGAATCAGTCCTTCACGCATTGCTTGACCGATTTTAAAATCAGCTTCCAAAAGGTCTTCCGTTTCTTCGTCCTAGAAAATAATTGACTACTATGACTTACCAGATCACTAGTGAGATCTACAAGGTTAATGGAACAATGACCTTGGCTTACCATAAACAGGTGGATCAAAGAAATTGAAGAAGGAATCCTGTTTGATTGCTTTAGTGATGGTTCGTTTTTCACCTCTGCCTTTGTGCTTTTGCACCTTTTTTACTAAGGTTACAGTTACATTTTTTCCAGGTTTCCAATTAATCGCACACCCTTTAGCTCTCACAATTTCAGGGCCCTCATATTCTAAAGGAGCATCATCAGAGGGCTGATAACTAAAGAAGTAACGCTTTGTAAGACACTTGTCTGAAAAGTAGTCATTCTCTTTGAAGTGAAATTCTAGGTAAAAGCCCTGAAAATGAAAAAAAGAACTATACTGGCTCTTCTCCGCTGACTAATATACACTTAACATCTTCTAGGCATTTAAGGATAGGCTCGTCATTAGGTTGAATCATTTCGTTAACGAGAGGGGCATTCTTGAGAACAAAGAACCAGAAATCTGGAATCCCCCTAATACTTTCATCAACTTGAGAAAATAAGATGCGAATTTAAGCTTACTATTATTCCCTTCCTTTACGCAAATATTTTTAAGAGCTAAAGTAATGTTTTCAAGCTCTTTCTCTTCATTAGGCCAGTCACATTCATCATCGTTTGGTTCTTTTTCTCCCGTAACAATGAGTCTCCTCTGCGAGATTAGGTAACCAAAAAACCTACTCGATTAAACACCTCTTGGTGCTTAGTATCGTACTTCATCTCTAGCTCAAAAAGCTCGCGATAGAAGGTTGCATCTATCATAACAGTCTCATGCTGAAGCTTTTTAAGAGCTCTGATCCGGCGCTTAACCGAACTTGGCAATCTTTAAGGGATATTAAGGAAATTAATCTACTTGTGGTAATATTCGAGTGCGTGAAGCTTAGAATCGGAGTCCATGTCCTGGAGGGATGCGAGCGCAGCAGGCTTATTCAGAATGTTATCATAAAAGTCGCCTGAAGCTAGACTTGCACATTTGGGATCAAGAGACCTGCTCAAAATGGTCAAAGTTGTGATGAAACGGTCTACCTATCAGTGTCTGACATTTCCGTGGAGAATAAGGGATATAGAGAGGACAAGGTAGGCACGCTACAGGAGCGAGGTCGAGCGAGATAAGCAAACGAAAATTTCGAGTAGTGGAGGTGCGGCAAATGATAAGATAAAACAAAATAACAATATTAATTGACGAATTTTATATAGATACCATTCGAAGAACATATAAGATGGTATTGTTAAAATGATGACATATTTTGCTTTTTGTATCTACACATCTTATATATTGTTTGTCAAAACTATAGTTAAAGTGAGGTATCACAACGGTATTAAAAGGTTCTGAATCATTCTGTGATGATTAGAGCACTATTATATAATATGCTAAGGTCAATATTTCCAAAAAATGAACTTTGTTTTGATGCATTCGTGATTTTGACTATCCAATGTTAGCTTATTAATACAAGGATTGAAATAATTGATATACGCTTAGATAGATATTTTATAGCAGTATATGGCCCAAGATAAGTATTTCAAAAGTAATAAAGGAAGTAACGAGACGTTATTAGCTGATGCTACATGATTACTTCAAAAGGATTATTTTATTTACATAAATAGTCGATAAACTTTTGGGAACTAAGAATTTTGATTTCTGCCATTGCATAACAGTTTTCTTTAGTTTCCTTCTAGAAGGATAGCCAAACTTCCCGCGGCGAAAAGAAATGAGGACTTCTTTTGCATTTGTTATGACATGCTGATGCAGTAGAAAGTCGGTCTCATTCCGTATTAAGCATAATATCAACATAGTAAAGATTAAATCAGCCCTCTCAATCGGAAATAGAGTAGTTGATAATATATGAGGCAGATAATTGCAAATACTGTTAAGTTACTTTTAATTTAGTTCAAAAATTATACTGGAATTGATTCATAAATAATTATAATTGGACACTGAAGAGAGTATGGGATTGCGGATTTGTATAACAATATCTTATATCACCATCCGGCTACCCCAATTAAGCGGTGTTGAGATTTAATCTGTTCTCCATGACAGACATCGTCTAAACCTGACATCTCGGTTCACCATTATTTACCGATAATGAAGGTAAGAAAGTTAGCCAACTGCAATTATACCTACTTGTTCTCCTTTCGGCGGCTGAATACACCTTTTCTTTTTTAATTTTTAATCATTATTTATTTGTTCTTACTCAAATGTTTACGGTCGTTCCTCACATTACACATATTCCCTGATATATTTATTTCTTTTAATAGCAGACAAGTCATAATCAGCAAAGCTATGCGCTTGAAACCATTCTATATCATGTTTAATCTAAGCCCTGTGTTTTGCTTCTTATGACCTTTGGACAAAGCAGGCTTAACAAGCAATTTTATCTTTCGCAGATCGTTTGCAAATAAACTGAGACGTCCTACCAGCATAATGTTGACGATAGAAGCATAATCTTTAACAGCCGAATATTAAAAAACAGGCACATTTCTCTCCAGAAGAATGTATAACAGAAGAAAGTCTCTGTTCTTCTTCGAAGAACATTTTAATCTCCCATTTTATCATGATAGTTTTACTCTATTTATTTTAAAGGAATGCATTATGGTAACATTTTTACAGGAGAAAAGTTCTTAGCTTGTCAATTAATGGCATAATTGTTTAACTTACTTCCATTTCGAGCGAAAGGGTTCGAGAAAGAGTTACAAAGTTCATTCCATCAAATGGCGGCTGCAGATTCTTCTATACCAGCTGTCGATAGGATTTACTAAAGCATATTTTAAGAAGCTTTTTCTTATGTAATTTTCTAGGATTTCGGTCAAAACGCGCTGAGATTTTGTCCCTCGAATTATTGACATCTTAACATCATGGTATCATACTTACAACCAAATTCAAGCTAACGATCCAAGTAAGCTCACTTGCTTATCCATAAAAAGGTGTATATATACTATATATCTGCCCTATTTGATGAGGTATTAAATGATTTGGTTAGTTCCAATCATATGTCAACAACATAAAATAAGTTTATTAAACTTTCACATTAATTTATATATCTAAAGTATAACGACTGGATAAGTCTGATCATAGAATGATGTACATAATTATTATTTAAAAAATAAAGGACTAACTCTTCTCTTATTTTTTTAGTATTTAAAAAAATATTTGTTGTGATGTGTGCTCAACTTTGTAATACGGCAGAGACATATTCTCTTCCTTCTTCATCCAACCTGTTCCGGCTATTCAGAAATTTACTTTAGAACTACA